AGTTTTCTTATCTGCAAGATGAGGATAATACCTGCAAATGCAGGCCTCTTAAAAGCATTGTGAGACTTTAAAACAGTGAAGGAGATGGGCCTAGCTGCCTACACTGGAAAACAGAGTAGATGAAGAATACATCCTGCCCCCATTATCCCACACAGTTGGTCACCCCAATGGGTATATACATGGATAAAGGGAAAAGGCCTTGACTTAGTAACTGATCTGCTCTAGGCTGAGTGTGAGGGATCAAGATGCTCACTTGAGTCCTAGATAAGATGAGCTGGGCCCAGAACAGTGCAGGAAAAATGGAGCAGAACAGGGTCTGTCTGGAGAATCGTGTGGATCCTCCCTGACCCCAACTGCTCCCTGACCTGAAAACCCATCGTCTCCACAGACCTACGCTACCAGCAACACCACCACAACCTCGGGCTCCCCCGAGGCCGTGGGCGAGTCTCATGACAGTGTCCAATTATCACCCCCACTTTTCAGGAAAAGAAACCGAGTCTTGGAGTGGGGAAGGGATGGGCTTAAGGCCACACTGAGAGTAAATGATAGAGCCAAGACGTGAGCCTAGATCTCACCTGCACTCTGGAACATCGCCCACTTGCCCTGCTGCCCAAGCACAGCTTGGCAAAGCCCCTGGAGTCGGGCCGGGGGTCTGCTGGGATCTCATTCACACTCAGTCTCTCACAGTGACATATACACCCAATCCCTGTGACACACATTCACAATCTCACAGCCTCTCTCTCTCTCACACACACACACACATACACACACAGGCAGAGAAGGCATGACCAGTGGGCAGGCCCTCACCACTTTTCCTGCAGCTTCTCGGGCTCCCTCTCAAGGGCCAGCTGCTGCTTCTCCTGCTCCATGATTCTCCGGGCCTCAGCCACCTTCCACAGACGCTCCTCTTCTTCCTTCGCAGCTGTTCCTGGCACCTCCGCTTTTCCTCCTCCTGGAGCTGGGAAAGAGAGGGAGACCATTCAGGCAGGCCAGGTGAGGTTGGGGGTGAAGCGGGCACAGCAGAGCAAAACCCTTGGCCCCTTCCAGCTCTAAATTAATGACTGTACAGGAGCCATCCTTGTTCAACCCAAATGTCCAAACTGCCCATGTGTTTGACTGCGGAACTAAGTTCTGGGCTAAAGAACAATTAGGCTTAGCCCACCAGAAAGAAACAGGCCAGTGAGGGAGAGCACTCATCCCAGAAAGAAGCCACCTCTTCCTGTCACTCAAGGAATCTCTCTCTTTTAGTGCCCCCCGCCCTGACCTTTTCTTTTTCATGATGCGTGGCTTGGGTCACCTCATCTGTTCCTTACCAAGAATTCTGGGAGGCAAATAGAATTTTACAAAAGAGGAAACTGAGGCAGGCAGCAGTTAAGTGACTTGCCTAGGGTTGCACAGCTACTAAGTCTTGAGGCTGGATCTGAATTTTGGTCCTCCTGACTCAAGGCCCAGCATACTGGGCCCTACAGCTAGCTGCCCCACAAGGAAGGGGTGTGTCTCAGCCCTCATCCAGTGAGGCCTAAGGAACTGACGATGGGCAGCTCTGCTCCTGCCTCCTTGGGCCTCCATCTCTCCCCCCTGGGATGCCCCCATCCTGCTCCACTTCCCTGCTGAAGCCTCTTCCGCCTCCTCCAGCTTCTTAGCTTTCTCCCTGGCCTCCTCCTCAGCCAGTCGCTCCTCCTTTGACTGCCAGCCACCAACACTGAGCGACCAATCCGACCCCCTCGTTTTACAGGTGAGGAAACATAGGGCGCAAAGGCCTGCCTCAGTTTCCCCGTCTGCAAAAGATCTCTTACAGCCCTCAGGTCGTCGTCCGGTGAGGCCAAGGGCCCGCCGGGGTAGACGCGCCTCCACGAGGCTGGCCCCCCTACGGGGAGAAGAGGAACCCCCCCGGAGAGGACGAGGACGCGGCGGGGGCCTCACCTAGCTTGCTCCAACACGCCCAGCCTGCCTCGCCCCGCGTCTCGAGGTCCTCGACTCCGGGGAAGACGACGCCGCCGCTTCAGTAGACGAGGTCTGAGGCGGGAAGCCAGGATTTTGAAAACAGAAGGCGTGGCCGATAGCGGGAAAGGCAGACCGGGCCGCTTATTGGCCCTCCTGGGTGACAATCAACGCCGATCCGAGGCGAGGTCAACGCCTTGCTTTCCACTTTTGGTCCTGGAGGCACCCCGGAGGGGAGGGGCGGCGGCCAAATGCTCTGAGAGGCGGGGGAAGACCAAAAGTCCCGGCGTGCCTCGCGGTGGCACCGCCCCCTCCCCCCTCCCCTGTTCCTTAACACTTAGTTACCGGGCTTTTATTAACTTCTCCAGGCCTATGTTGTAGCTGTCCCGTAGACGTAAACTTCTTAATGATTAATCTCAGAACCTCCAGAATCTGTTAAGATGTCTTTACTTGTATCTAATTTTTAACTCTAGGTCTAGGCTGGTCAGGCCTGGACCCACATGGAAAGGAGTTTTACAGGTTTGTTGTTTTCCTGGCTGCAGTCTTTCGAAGTCTCTGGCTACCTGCATTTTATATCTTACAAGGTACAGACACAGAGACACACTGACAGACAAACTGACAGGACAAATACAATACAAACATAGTGTTCACTTAATGACACAGAGAGAGGGAATTAGAGGCTTGTTAGAAAACCCCCAACACTAATTAGCTATTAGTATTCCAAGGAAGGGGGTTGGGGAATTTGCAAGGATCCAAGACCTGAGAGTGTAACTGGACCTTTTGAGTCTTGCTCAAAGTGTCCCTGAGATTGCAGAATCAAAGGGGCAAGTCCCAATGAAGTTAAATTTGGGGATCTGAGTCCCCATCAGGACCATGCATAGAGTGCAGGAATGGAAAGCCAGGTCCTGCCCACAGTGTACCATTACTAACTGCTCAGGGAATCATTATGTTGAGGAATTCTCTCCACTGCTTGGGAGCTTTTAGCGTCCCATGACTGAGGGTCAAGGATAGGAGGCCAGCTAAGGAATTGGCTCTGGCTAACAGCACATTCAGCTTCCTGGGGGTAACCTTTCAGGCCGTCTTAGAGTATATAGGCAATCAGCAGCCTTCTGTGGTAATTTAGGGTGCATAAATAACGCATTTCCCAGGAGAGGGAGGGATGGATCAAGGGGGGGGGTCAGCCAAGGGAGAAAGGGGAGTACTTGGAATGAAACTGGCAGGATTTATTATCAGTAAGAAAACATTCCCTGCTTAAGACCAGGACACAAGGAGAATTGTAAAAGCAGGACACAATTGTAAAAGTAGTCCTTTTAGAGAACTGTAGGGTCTGTGATCCAAAGACAACAAGTTGGTGTTACAATAATAGATGAGACCATCTGTTTTACTATGTCCTTATATAAGGGTTGGGGACTTTCTAACATTATTAGGTTACCAAGTGGATGGGGGGTCGGTGCTGTGGGATTTCTTCATGGTTGTCCATCTAGTTCATCCAGATGTAGTGAAATGCATAAATCATTAGCATTTCTATATATTACCAAACAAAATCCAGCAGCAAGAAATAAAAAGTAATTCCATTGAAAATAACTGTAAATGATATAAAATATAAAATCTACTTGCCAAGACAAACCCATTTGAATATGAGTACAAACTGATTGTATATGAATACAATCACAAAACACATTTCACACAATAAAGTCAGATCTAAACAATTGGAAAAATATTGCTCATGGGTAGATGGAACCAATATAATAAAAATGGCAATGCTGCCTAAATTAATCTATTCAGTGCCAGACCAATCAACTACCAAACAATTATTTTATAGAGCTAAAAAGATATATAAAAAACAAATTCATGTGGAGAAACAGAAGGTCAAAAATACCAAGGGAATCAATGAAGGAAAAAAAAAACCATGAAGGAAGGTAGCCTAACCTTACCAGATCTCAAACTATCATAAAGCCATAATTATCAAAACAGTTGGGTAGTGGCTAAGAAAGAGAATATTGGATTAGGTACACAATACACAGTAGTAAAGGACCACAGTAATCTGGTGTTGCATAAACCCAAAGACTCAGACTACTGGGACCACAACTCCCTCTCTGACAAAAATTGCTGGGAAAACTCAAAAATAGTTTGGCAGAAACTAGGTAGAGACAAACATCCTGCAAATTGTCGTTTGTCCTTTTTTCTTGAAGAGGACCATGACATCAGGGAAGTGATGCCAGGACTTGCAAGTGAATGGGATTTAAGTGAGGGAGGGCTGTGCAAAGTGACCGCCCTCACTTTCTCCTCTGGAGTATCTGGGTCCAGTGGCCAGATATAGATCAGGATGTCTGGAGATGACCCCAGCTGCAGTGGGAGACCTTGGCCTTTTTCAGCTAAGGTCTTTCCCAGGTCTCAGTTTGACTGAGGCAATGCCCATTCAGTGCTTAAGGCTAGGTAAGTAGAAATAAGGAAAGGAATGGCCTGTTTTACCAGTCAGGAAAACAAACAAACCAACCAATCCTCTGGGAGGGGAAGACTCTCAGGGTTTCTGGCCACAATACAAACAGCTGCTGTCTACATTCACTATGAGCCAATCCGGGCCCACACAATGACTAGACAGGGCTTAGCCTGGGACCTCTCCGTGGCCAATCAATGAGAGGCAGCGTGACTTGGGTTTAAGACATGGTCCTTACAAAAGAAATCTAGCCTGTAAACCGCCAGATATCTTTTGAGGTTTCCGTGATCAAAAGAGAGAAACAGTGCCTGCCCTCAGGAAGTTTACGTCTAAGGGAGAGAGCTGCAACACAGACCTAGAGAAGTCAATCAAAGCCAGGTACCTAAGTGTTAATGAACGGGGGGGGGGGCGGTGCCACCGCAAGGCACGCCGGGACTTTTGGTCTTTCCCCGCCCCTCAGAGCATTTGGCTGCCGCCCCTCCCCTCAGGGGTGTCTCTAGGTCCAAAAGCGGAAGCAAAGGCGTTGACATCGCCTCGGATCGGCGTTGATTGTCACCCAGGAGAGCCAATAGGAGGCCCGGTCTGCCTTTCCCGCTATCGGCCACGCCTTCTGCTTTGAAAATCCTTGCTTCGTGCCTCAGGCCCCGTCTACTGAGGCGGCGGCGTGGTCTTCAACAGAGTCGAGGGCCTCGCTACACGGGGCGAGGCGGGCCGGGCCAAGTGGAGCAGGCTAGGTGAGGCCGCCTCCTCCTCCTCTCTGGGGGCGGCTCCCCTTCTCCCCGCAGGGGGGCCGGCCTCGCGGAAGCGCGTCTACCCCGGCGGCCCTCGGCCTCACCCGATGACCGCGTGAGGGCCGTAAGAGACTATTTGCAGACCGGGACACTGAGGCAGGCCTTTGCGCCCTCTGTTTCCTCACCTGTAAAACAAGGGGGTCGGATTGGTTGCCCAGTGTAGGATCGAGGCCCGACTCTTCCCTCAGCCCACGCTGGGAGCGAGGGAGCGAGCCAGGCTGCTCCCGTTTTATGGATGGGGGAGCAGAGGGGGTGGTGTTGGGGCCGCAGGCTCTGGCTCGCCGTTTCTGGTCACGAGCCCCAAGAAGGAGCCCCTTTCTTCAGCTGCGTGGCAGCTTTCTAGCTCCTTAGGCAATGCGTGTCGGTTGAAAGACTTGAACTCTTCCTCTCAGTCTTCCCTTCCTGCCTGAGACAAGCCTTGATCGCTGGGCAAGTCACTAGTGACAGGCAGGCTTGAGTGGAGCAGGGGCCGGGTGCCCACAGGGCTGCTGGGATACCTTCCCAGCCCCGGGTCTCAGGAGCAGGGCCTCTCATCCGTTTCCATGTGCACTGATCTCTCGGGCAGTCTGGGGAAGCCTGCGAACCTCTTTTCTCAGCGTGGTGATTGACACGCAGAAAGCCAACTGCACAGGCATAGGAGAGGACCGATTCCATAGACATGTAAAAATCAAAGAGTAGAAAATCACAAAGTCACAGACCTCCCAGAAATCTGGCCCTGCAAGAATCCCTTTCCTGCACAAAATGTTACGTATTGTTGTTATTACTGCACTTTAGGCTGTAGGACGTGTGCTTGCATTGACTTAGAACTGCGTAGTAGTCCTGGTTTCACAGATTTAAGACTGGAAGGGACCCCAAAGGCCAAGTTCAGTGCCCTTCTTTTGCCCATGAGGACACCTGAGGCACGGAGAAGTTGGCCCAGGGTCGCACAGCTAGTGAGGGAGGTGACATTTGAATCCAGGGCTTCCTGACCCCGAGTCCAAAGACCCCCTCCTCCCACCGTGCCACACAGGATGGACGGAAAGCACGAGTTCCAAACAAGGACATCACCTACCTGTCTCCTGGAAATTGCTCTCTATTTCTTTGTTCACTCTGTATTTGCTTCTAAACAGAGACACCCTGGGTTAAGCACTTTCAAGGACCTCAAAGGTTTTCTAGACCAACCTGCCCTTCCTCTAATCTCAGGTTCAGTGATTGGCCCATGTTCACACAGCATGTGTTGGAGCTGGAATTCTAACCCAGATCCTTTGATTCTCTGTGCCACATCTGCAAAGCAGTGCTCATCTGCAGCCACCTTACTCTAGATGAGTTCAGATGCTTCTTGTTTCTTGTTAAGGGTCTGCTTGATTGCTGCTTCCTCCCTCTCCTTTACTTAACCCTGCTGGCAAGGCTTGGTCGTAACCCTCAGTCTGTCTTTGAGTGCCATCAGACGCCTGGTTAGTGGGTGACGTTATTTGGGGGGCAAGGAGCTCATAACTGTTAGGGGTTTGGCCTGAGGCCAAATGTGTTACAGAATATACTGTGTGGAGGAGAGGGGCGTTGGAGTGGTGGGGAACCTTGACTGAACGGAGAAAACCACTGTGGCCTCAATTCCTGCATCCCATCTCTTCCAGTTAGGGGGGCTCTGCATGGGAAGGTGGCAAGTTTAGGGTCAGAGAGAGAGTTTTAGAATATTTGCCAGCTGCTGTTGTACCTGGGTAAAGTGTTCCAAACCCATCCCTCATCAGGCTCTGTACTGGGAGGGAGAGCAGTGGTTGGGGACCTGGCATCACCTCTGCCCCTGAGGGGAGTGCAAGCTGGCTGACAGTGGTTCAGAAGCAAGACCACAACTTATTTTATGATCTTAAGCCAAGGTTTCCTTAGCATGGGGTCATTTTGATTGGGGCGGGGCAGGGGTGTAGGGAGTGGGAGAGAAGCCTCAGAAAGTGGATGAAACTTCTTAGATAAGCAAAGTCTTTCCTTGTGGAGGGAGGGTGTTCTTGTAACCGCTAATTTTTTTTCTAACCACTAATTAAAGAGGAAATCTTTGTTTTATTGTTTTTTTTGCACCAGTCACACAACACCACCCCACATATCCCAAACCCCCAACTGTGAGCTGTATTATGCAAAAAAAAAAAAAAAGAAGAAGAAGAAGAAGAAGCAAACCAAACTGACACATTCCCCACTTGATGGGCATCCCCTCAACTTCTAATTCTTTACCCCCAGAAAAGAGCTGTTATAAATGTTTTTGTACTTATAGGTGCTTTTCTTTTTTGTTTTTTCTCTCTCTTAGGATACAGACCTAGTGGTTATATTGCTAGGTCAAAGGGTACACATGACTTTATAGCCCTTTGGGCATAGTTCCAAATTGCTCTACAGAAGGGTTAAATCAGTTCACAACTCTACCAACAGTACATTAATGTCTCATTTTTCCCACATCCCCTCCAAATCTGTCATTTACCTTACCTGTCCTTTTAGCCAATCTAATAAGTATGAGGTAGTACCTCAGAATTGTGTTCATTTGCATTTCTCCAATCAGTAGTGAGTTAGAGTATTTTTTCATATGGCTATAGATAGCTTTAATTACTTCATCTGAAAACTGATCATATCTTTTGATCATTTATCAGTTGGAGAATGGCTCTTATTTTTATAAATTTGACTCAGTTCTCCATATGCTTGAGAAATGAGGCCTTTATCAGAGAAACTTCAAATTTTCTTTTCATAGTTACTGTTGCTAACTGTATTTCCTTCCCTCCATTTATTCTATTCTCTCTCTCCCTTCACCCTGTCCCTCTTCAAAAGTATTTCGCTTCTGAGCAACCTCTCCCCCAATCTACCCTCCCTTCTACCACCACCCCTTTCTCTTATTCCCTTCCTCTGCTTTCTTGTAGGGTAAGATAGATTTCTGTGCCCAATGTGTATGTTATTCCCTCTTTGAGCCAATTCCGATGAGAGTAAAGTTCACTCACTCCCCTTCCCTTCCTCTCCACTGTATTTTTACGTTATTTTTAGTTTATTTTTTAGGCAGTTGGGGTTAAGTGACTTGCCCAGGGTCACACAACTAGTAAGTTTTGGTCTAAGGCTGAATTTGAACTGAGGTCCTCCTGACTTCAGGGCCGGTACTCTATCTACTGTGCCACCTAGCTGCCTTCCCTCTCCACTGTAAAAGCTTTTTCTTGCCTCTTTTCTGTGAGATAATTTCCCCCCATTTTCTCTCTCCCTTTCTCTTTCTCTCAGTACATTCCTCTCGCCCCTTTATTTTTTTAGATATCCCTTCATTTTCTACTCACACCTGTTCCCTCTCTCTATATGTACTCCTTCTAACTACCCTAATATGAGAAAGATTTTATGAGTTAAAAATATCATCTTCCCATGTAGGAATAGAAACAATTTAACCTTATTAAGTCCCTTATGATTTCCCTTTCCTGTTTACCTTTTTATGCTTCTCTTGAGTCTTATATTCAAAAGTCAAATTTTCTATTCAGCTTTGGTCTTTTCATCAAGAATGTTTGAAATTTCTCTATCATATTGAATGTCCATTTTTTAACTTGAAGGTTTATACTCAGTTTTTCTGGGTAGATGATTCTTGGTTTTAATCCCAGCTTCTTTGACCTCCAGTATATCATATTCCAAGCCCTGCAGTCCCTTAATGTAGAAGCTGCTAAATGTTGTGTTATCCTGATTGTGTTTCCACAGTGCTTGAATTGTTTCTTTCTGGCTGCTTGTAATATTTTCTCCTTCACCTGGGAACTCTGGAATTTGGCTCCAATATTCTTAGGAGTTTTCCTTTGTGGATCTCTTTCAGGAGGAGTTTGGTGGCTTCTTTCCATTTCTAAGGAGGAGGCCCTAAAGGTGTTGTCCAGGTAAATCCAGGGCTGAAGGGCCCATGTGGGTGCAGCAGGAAGGGGCTATTAGCCCAGGGCACAGGACACCAGGCAAACCCTGACTTTGAACTAAAGGGTCATTGGCAGAAATACACATTTAAAAAGGGGAGAGCCTTATGGGAAACCTTACTCCTGTAGCAAGGCAGAGCCAGAGGAACTGAGAAAGAGGAACATGTTTGTCTGTGGCCCATTCCACACCTGCCAATGTTCTGCCAGTTTGGGGGTGTTTTCCTTCCTTTCTCCTCCTCTCTTCTTTTCTTCCCTTCCTTCCCTCCTTCCTTCCCCGCTCTCTCCCTCCCTCTGTGCCAGGCACTGTACAAAGCCCAGAGAACAAGACATTCTCTTCTCTGTGAAGTGGATCTTGTTTCTAAAGGGATCTGACCAGGCCTGAGCACCTCCCTCCCCTCATTCTGGACATGCCCTTCATGTACTCCATCAGTGTCAGAAACTGGCTTCCCCAGGGCATTCCTCCTCCATTTCCCCTCCATGTGCCCTGGTGATCTTTTAATGCTTCTCCTGACACTCAGATTCCATAATTCCTTGCTGCCCTCCTCTCTCCAAGCCCCCATTCCCTTTCCTCTTCTCATTCTCTAGCTTCTCCCTACCTCCCATCCTTGGGTTCTGCCCTCTTTGTCCTTGAGTGCCAGGTGAGGAGGAGTGATCTCTAGAGCTGTAAGGATGGAAGCTGAGCAGGGCCCCTCTAGTCTAATCCCCTCGTTGTGCAGTTGGGAATCCTGAGGTCCAAAGACTTGCCCAAGGTCACTCAAGTCATAAACATCAGAGGTGAAATTTGAACCCAGGGCCTCTGTCTTCCCTAGACCATGCAGCCTCCCTCAATGTAGGCCGTGGGGATCCCTGACCTACTGCCAAGGCTGGCATGGAAGGGGAGGAGGCTGCCAGATTGGGGCCTTGCTCTCCCACGGGGATGAGGGTTCTACCAGATATGGCATCTTATATGAGGCATCTTAGGGTGAACTAAGTACCGTTCAGGTTAAAGGGACCTTTGTGGCCTGGTCTGGGCACAGCATGGAACCAGCTGTGTCCAAAGCTCAATTATCTGGAGCTTCAGGTTAGCAGAATGCTTTACAAACGTTAGCTCCTTTGATCCTTAGAACAGCCCTGGGAGTAGGAGCTGTTATCATCCCCATTTTACAGGGTCACACAGCTGCTAAGTGGCCAAGGTGAGATTCTAACTCAGGGCTTCTTGACTCCGAGTCCAGCACCCTGTGCCACTTAGTTGTCCTCTGTGTGACTGCATCTGTGAGGAAATGTGTCCCAAGTCCCAGACAGACTTTGAGGCTCCAACCTGTTGGGGGCCTGAATAGAGCCCTGGGCTCCCAGACAAAAGAGCTTGAGCAAATCAAATGGCCTCCCTGGACCTCACTTTCTTATCTTTAAGGTGAAGGATTTGGCCTAGACGGATCCCCTGGATTGGGTCCAGGTCTAACCTTCTCAAATGCTGTAAAGACAAGGTTAGCCTTTTCAGAACCCCTGGTGAGTAGGTGAGGCTGGCCCATAGGGATAGCACGGGAGGAGAAGGAGATTTGTCCTCCTTTCTGACGAGCAGGAAGGCCCAGGGGCTCTTCCAGGCCAAAGGGGCCATTGATGGGGAGGTGAGCAGTTTAGATGTTCTGTGACTCTTCTTTTCTCCTCTTTGCCCCTCAGTGACTTCAGTGTGGAGCCTGAGCTGATGCCCAAAACGCCATCTCAGAGGGACCGCCGGAGAAAGAAATAGTTTTCCTCCATGCAGGATAAGAACAAGCCCCCAACCAGGAAAAGGTAGGTGGCTGCTGGGCCCCAGGGCCAAGCGGGCAGGGCAGGACAGCAGAGACAGGCCTGGGTTTGGTGTCACTATCTGCCTGTGCCCCTCCTCAACTGTGACATCTACATAGGCCTTTGTAAATAGAAGGCCTCCAAGGTCTTGTCCATTAAAATGGTGGTCCTGTGACAAGGGTAGAGCGCTTAGCACCGTGCTCAGTGCTTTGGGAAATATGGAATGAAGTACAAGACGTCGAGGGGAGAGGAGACCCAGAGAAGAAGCAAGGGCAGGGCAGGGGATGATCTTGGTGCTGGTGTGTGGTCCCTCAAGAGGGCCTAGGACCATGGATTTGGAGCTGAAATGGACCTTGGGGGTCCTTGAGTCCAAGATCTTCATTTTTATAGATGAGGAAACTGAATTAAATAGGTAACGTGACTTGCCTAGGGTCACCCAGCTGGGAAGTGTCTGTGGCTGGATTTGAACTCAGGCCCTCCTGACTCCAGGCTCAGTGCTCTGTCCACTGTAAGTTCCTTGAGGGCAGGCATTGTGTTTTTGCCTTTCTTTGTATCCGTAGCACCTTAGCACAGTGCATGGCACATGATAGGGACTTCCCAAATGGTGTTAGATTGGCGGTGCCTAGGGCCCTGCTTTCCGTCTCATGCAGGTTGTCCCACTGTGAGAGACTAAGGAGTCGTTGACACAACCACCAGCTACTTCAGAGCAAAGATAAGCCAGAGAAGCTGGTTCTGGTGGCAGCTGACAATAGCTCCGTCCCTCGTCGGACTCTAACCCAAGCAGCAGCAGCCTCCTCGCCCCCTGAATCGCCCATGGTGCTCCCCATAAAGCCTATGAACCTGGCAGCAGTGAATGGGTTTGTGCCTGTTATAGAGATCAGCGTCAGCGAGCAGCAGAGTGCTGAGAATTACCTGGTGACAAATAAGACCAAGACAGCTGTCGTCAGCTTGGGCTGCAAAGATGAATTGATGTCCAAACAGCAGGCAGAAAGCCTCCCTGAGCCAGCGCCTGGGACCTTCTTGGTGGTGCCCACTGAGGTGCCTGAGGTGCAAGCTGCGGGGTCTGTGGCCAAACTCCAAATAGCCCAGCCAGTGGCTGTGATGACCAAGCCGGGCAGGGCACCCTCCTCACCAGGAACACAGACCCAGCCAGAGATTGAGCTCCTCTTGGACTTGCTGGAAAGCCCTCAGACCGTGATAGGCCCCTGCTGTGACTGGTGCTCGGTGCGTAGGAGCCTGGTGCGCAAATTCTCACAAGCCCACAGGGCCTTCTTGATTCGTAAGGACTCCGTGGTCCCGAAGAAGATCAGCTCTGCTCGACGGTCCTCCAGGAAGCTGGCCCTGGAACCAGCAGTCACAGGCTACATCACCTGTAAGTTGTTTGGCATTTCCTGGGCGCTGAAGCTCAAGCCCTTTGTCCCTCGCAGTCTGTCTGCCTTCTGCCTCGTTTTAGCAGAGATGAGGGTGCCCCAAGCACTCAGGTTCCTAGAATGTCTGCACGGGAAGGGGATTCCAGGATTGAAGAAGAGTTCCTAGAAGAGGAAAGTGGGAAGGAAGGGAGCCCCTCACCCATCCCTAGACTTGGAGGAGTGTCTGAGCCCCCTCCGTACTGTGACAGATGATAGAAGTCACTCTGGGAGGGCCAGAGCAGGGATTGGAGCCTCCTCTGGCTCCTGGTCTCTGTCCTCCATGTGGCCTGGGAAGGCTGGCCTAGCAGAGGATGGGGTTGGTACAGTCTCCCAAGGTGGAAAGGCTGTGGATGATTCCTTGTGCCCAAGAATCTGCCTGATTAAATAACAAGGGATTTGTCATTGGCCCTGCAGGGTCCTGGATGGAGCCCTAAACTGGGAGGCCTTAGCACCTGGGTCATCTCTGGGCAGAGTCACCTTTCTTGACTCAGTTTGCCCATCTGTGAAATGAGAATAATAGCAGTGCCTGCCTGATAGAGTTGTGAGGATCAGGGCATTGACAGGCTTCTTAGCTCCCCTGGTAGTGAAAGGGAGGGCTGAGAGCAGAGGACTTGTGGATCCTCCATAGAGCACCCTCCCCGCCTGCTGGAGAGTGTCCTCTCCACTCCCTTCAGCATCCTCTGAGAACCTATTGTGCTCAGGCTGCCTGCCTAGGGGGTCCCTCTCCTTGATTTCGGAGAGAACGAGTAGATAACCCTATGGGGTGGGAGGCAGTTTAGGTGACACAGATTGGGGCTGAGGCCTGCAAGGCATGTCAGATAGCTAGCAGACATCTCCTGACTCCTTCCAGCTCGTAGCCTTTCACTGAACTACCCTGCCTGCTGTTAGACATTGGATACTAATGACCTGCCTGAGATAGTTGGGTTATCATTTCAGTAAAGAGATTTTGAGGTCCTGTGTTAAGAACCAAGTTGATTTAGAAAGGCCCACAGAGGAGTAACTTTGACGTAGTTCTGAGGCCTTAGTGACATAGAGGGTCTGTGTTGGTCAATCTGACTGTTACCTAAGGGCCTTTTTATCCCAGACTACAGTGCAGAGGCAGCCATGAGGCCCATGTTTTGGGACCCCTGGAAATCTCTTGGAGATAGGGGACGGGCCCCTCCTAGGTAGATAAGCACTCCCTATTTGAGCAGTTGTGGCATTGGCGCTAGCAGGAGAAAAGAGGGAAGGGGAGTGTATCAGACACAGAGATTGGTGCCGTTATTGAGTCGATTCAGTTGTGTCCCACTCTCCCTGACCCCATTTGGGGTCTTCTTGGCAGAGTTTCTGGAGTGGTTTGCCATTGCCTTTTCCAGCTTATTTTACAAATGAAGAAAGTGAGGGAAATGGTGTTAAGTGACTTGCCCAGGGTCACACAGCTAGTAAGTTTCTGAGCCCAGATTTGAACTCAGGAAGAGGAGTCTTCCTGCCTCCAAGCCTAGCATTTTATGTGACACCTAGCTACCCTGATTAGTACTAGGGAGACGGGTGTTCTAGGACCCTGATCCAGAGTGACGAGTGGGGAGAAGTGAGGGAAATGTGGCCAAAGAGCCAAAGCTCCCTGGGGTGATAAAAGCAGTCTGACTGAAGCTCAAGCCAATCCTTTGCATGTACAGGCTTTGGAACGGATGGCAAGTGCTCAGTGTCCCAGGAACAGCATCTTTCTGCACAAGGAGCTCTCTCTGCAGGGCTTGGGGATGAGGCGGGGAGTGTCAAGTTTGTCCCCACCAGTTAAGGGCCCTTTGGGATTCTGGAAGTCAGGAGCTTAGCTAATAGGTCAGTGATCTGGGAAAAGCAGCAAGCTAAAGTAGAAGGAGGCCTGGGCTGGCAAATCCCTACCTGTGTGTCCTTGGCCATGTCACTTTTCCATTGTGGGCCTTAGTTTTCCCATCTCTAAAATGAGAAGGCAAGACTAGATACCTTGGAGGCCCCAGCTGTGTCCAGACCCAGTGATCCCAAGGGGAGGCAGGGAGAGTAGTTTGGGGCAGCTCCAAATCTGGGATTGCCTCTTGGCTTGCATTTTTTACTTTTTGGCTTTCAAGGTGTCTTCCTTCTCGTTGCCAAGGCTGCAGGGGGAGCTTGGTCAGATACTACAACAATTCAGGAAAAGCCAGGCTTGAAAAGTTCCCTGCATCCTCCTCTCTGACTCTCTGGCTCTTCCTTCCCAAAGGCTGGTAGGAGGCTCTGGGCCCACTTGTTCATGTTGAGATCAGGTCGACTACTCCTCCCATTTGGACAGGGAGCTGTGCCTGGGGCCTTTTGGCCTCTGTGACGTGATGGTTGCAGAGGCCCAGAATGAACCGTTAGCCTCATCTTGGTCGGCGGCTCTCTTCCTTTTCTTGGCTCATAGAGTTGAGGAGTTGCCACGACCTGACTGGTGAGGCTGGCAGGTCTATGAGAGTAGGCCCCATCTAGTTTGTGACCCCCACAATGAGGACTTGAGCCAGTGACTTAGGCCAGCACCTTCATTTTGCAGGCGGGGTTGCTGAGGCCTAGAGAGAGGAGGGGGCTTGACCAGATTTCCCCAGCCAGTACATAACAGTCCTGGAGCTCGACTCCCAAACCAGGACTGTCTCCACAAGACCATGTGGTCTCAAGGGGGACTTAAAAGATTAGCAGGGAGAATGGGAAGTGAAACCTGAGAAGAACAGGTCTCCTGAATCCCTGCCGTCCCAGTCTGTAGAAGATGCTGGGAAAAGAATTGAGTGGTTCCCATCTGACTTGTGATTATCATTAATAAACCATTTTTGTCACACCTTTGAGATGCTTTCTATACATTATCTCATTTGACCTTCCCAGTACCACCTGTGGGTAGGTACTACAGATATTATTATCCCCATCTTACGGATAGGGAAACTGAGGTTCAGAGGGGATAGAGTGACTTGATCAGGGTCAAATGACTCTTGTCAGGTGGGGGATTTGAACCCGGGTCTTTAGTGATCCCAAGTCTAGTGCCCTTCCAGGGCATGCTGCTGTTCTCTGACTGCCTTCTTTGTCCTGGATTCTTCCTTTCAGGCCACAGCTACCTGGAGAGGCTCCTGGGTGTAGAAGTATTCAGGAAAGCCAGGTGAGACACAGATGTCTTTGTCCACAAGCCATGCTCTGAGTGCTCAGCGATCAGTGCAGACAAGGGATCACTCCTCCTCCTGTTGCCCCCGGGGCTGAGGACAAACAGGTGTCATCACAAATGATTCCAGACCCTTCAAGGGGAAGCCAGAGCTCAGCTGGTCCTCTTCAGGCACAGGCACATGCAGACTACACCATAACCCTGGCTTCCCACCACCAGAGGCCAAGAGCATGCACTTTGGGCCACTTAGGGGTCAGGTGGGCCTCCTGTGGTCACTCCCCCAACCTGGCCACTGTCACCCACAGCTAGGCCTCCTCTGAATCATGCCCCCTTCCATGGTCCTGACCACTTTATGGGTGCTTAATTGGCAATCCCAGAATTCCACGTTGAGGAGAGGAGAGCAAGGGGATGGTGACATGGAAGGCCCAATGAAGACCTGTCCCCTGGAGCCAGGGGAAGGAAGGTGGGCGGCTTTTCTGTGACAGTCTGATGCTTATTGCCCCTTGGCCTCAGAGGCCTCTGAAGCCACCCGGAGGGGACGGCTTCCCTCCATCACTGAAATGCACCCCCACTCGCCTGCGGTGGGCAAGACAACTATTGCTGGGAGCTTGGCTTGAGCATTGCCAAAAGCATCCTGGCCCCGTCACTGTGTCCTTCAGGGGTGGAGGAGGTGGCCCAGAGACACCTGTGGTAGCAAAGCCTTCCTCGAGCCCCAGGTCTCTAATCATAGATTTGTAGGAGGTTGGAGTGGGGAAGAATCTGACTGGTTCAGTGGAAGGGGCCCGGGCTCTGGGGTCAGAGCTGGCCTTGGGGGTGGTGTTGGTAGCTCTGCTTCTGACCTCACCTGAGTCACATGGCTTCTCTAGACCTCAATTTCCTCATCTCTAAAAGGCGAGGGTTGGACTCATGGCCTTGGCTCAAAGGCTGTGATCCTCCGAACCCCTTCATTTTAGAAAAAGGAAACTGAGGCTCAAAGAGAGAAAGGCATGTGGCCAGTTTGTGGCAGTGCTCAGCATGAAAGGCCAAGAGCCTGCCCTGGGAGGGTGGTGACTGTCAGAAGGCTGCCCCCCCACCACCCCTGTGTGCTGGTGGTCAGATCTGCCCTCCCAGGGAGGCTGGTGGTGCCACCCCTCCATGTGCAGCCTCCTTCCCTTGCCATTACAGTGGCCTCCTCCTTGAGCTCTCTGCCTTTCTTAGAACCACCAGATCTGACCATCAGCCCTCTGTTTCCAAGGCTCCCTGCCTCTGGGATCAGATACGAACTCCAATTTGTCCTTTAAAGCCCAGTACCATCTGGCTTTGTGCCCTCTTGGCAGGCTTTCTACACCTTCCTCCCAGTTTAGCCAGCCAGCCCCTTTGCCGCTCCCTTCCCCATGCCTTTGTGTAAGAATCCTCCCCTGCCCCTTGCATCTGCTGGTTTTTCCTGAACCCAGGTTATTGGTGATGGGGCGGGTTGCTCTGCCTGGGTCAAGAGAATGGAGCTTCCTGGTGATGAGGAGATGTGGCCCCCAGAGTCCACTCCTCCTGGTGTTTAGGGGCTGGGCTGTTCATCAAGCTTTCTCTGTTTCCTTTCAGCTCTGAAGAGGAGGTGAAGTGTGCAAGAGAAACTGAGCAGGAGGTAGGCAGGGCTCTGGGGAGAGGGGCCTAGGCCCCAGTTGGGAGAGCAGGCGACAGAAGGGCCTCTGGCCACGTGCTCTTGGACTCTGTCGTAGCCACTAGAGGCGGCCTCTACCTCCAAAGTCATTCCTTGAAATGAACCAATCTTTTCCTACCTTGCAGTGTCCTGGATCAGGGCCTCTGTTCATCAAGCCATAGGTTCCCAAAGTGGGCAATACCACCCCGGGAAGGTGCTGGGATGATCCAGGGGAATGGTAGTAATTTGAAATGATGCAAATTTAAAAAAAAATTAAAGAGTTAAAGAAGTTAGATTTCCAGGGGAGTACTGCAAAGGGGGCAGTAGGCAAAATAAGTGTGGGAACCATGCTGTCTCATGGGCAAGGGAGCTCCACACCCAGGAGGTAGGAGGATCAGGGCCTGGGCCAGAATGAACCCCAATGCTCTGCCTTTGCCTGCAGGCACCTGAGGGCACCAGGAGAAGGCTGCACTCTCAGAACACAAACAAGATTTCCATCAGCAGCCCAAGGGCCCAGCCAGGGTCTGGAAGCCAAGCAGATGATGACAGTGGTGAGGCCTTCTCTGGGTGTTGGGCCATAAGAAGGAAGCAGGAACTCTGGGAGTTGGTAACTGTCCATGCTGGTGAAATCCCGACTTGAGACAGCTCCCTACTAGAACTCGTTCCCACTTTTTGTTGGCTGGAAGGCAGTTAAGATGTAGCTGAAGAAGCATTTGCCTCTGGTCCTCAGCTTCCTCACTTCTAAAAGCTTGTTAAAACGAATGCTCTCCTGAAGGCTGTCCTGAATTCTGTGACCCTGGTCTGTCCTGTAGGGGCTAGCCCAGGTAGGCTTGGCCATGTGGAATTAATTGCTCCAGGGAGCAGGCCAGGGGGCTAGCTGACCTATTACGTCAGCAGAGAATCCCTAGTAGTGTCTCAGGGAAAGCTTGGTTTTTTTTTTCTCTAATTAAGATGATTGTGATGTCAGGAGGGTGAGGAGTTGAACCTCAGGGAGGAAGTTGTAGAGGAGAAGGAAGGAAGAAGAGGAGGATGGTGATGCCAGCCTGAAGCCAAGCAGGACAGTCACCCTACACAGGGGCCATTGTAGAAAGGGGCAGGCAGGCTGGTCCGGACTGGCTGCCAGACTCTGGGGATCGTGGGGGCAGCCAGCTCTGGCATGACCTGCAAAATGTTGGCTACAGGTTCTAGCTGTAGTATTGGAGGGCAGATAAGGAAAAGGTTCCTGGGCCAAGGAAGGAGTGGGGTGGGACTGAGGAGGAGGAGGCCACTTGGGGGGCTGCTGCTGTGGGCAGGGGAATGGGGACAGGGTGGTGCTGTTTCAGGGAGTTCGGTTTGGGAGGAAATGGGGAATGGCCCCTGTGGACCCTACAGGCACAGGCAGAGCGGCCCAATGGTTAGCCCAGGTTGCAATTTCATTGAATGTGAGGTTTGGCTCTAACCTTGGCTCCAGATGGTGACTTGTGGGGCCAAGGCTGAGCTCCCCACTCCTGCTCACCTACCAGCTGGGCAACAGGTCAGAGGCGGGGGCAGAGGAAGAGTGTCACTTGGCAGCTTGGTGCCCTGGGAGTCAGTGTGATCTTAGGCAGGTCATCTCTTTGGGCCAATTCTACTACTCCGAGTTCGCTCCCTTTGTGCCCTAAATCTGTGGGAGCATCTGACAAGATGGCAGATGTAAAAGGCTTTGTATAAGGGAGGCTTCCCTTGTTTTGTTCCCTCC